ACCTACATGTATGCATAAGAATTCATAGTTGGAACGAAACAATTTGGAGTTTGGTATTTTATTATTTTGTTACATACTTAATAATTTTTAAAACTAAGATAAATGACGTTAAAAAAAATTAGTTATTCAATTAATAAATTTATAAATTAGCTACGAATTCAAAGGTATGTATGTTTTCAAGAGATGCATATACTCAGAACTATAACAAAGTTTGTTTTGCAGAACGTGATAAAATGTACAATGTAACGAGAACGATGAAAAAAAAAAATCTTGTGAGTCATAGATTGTGGACGGCAAAATACTCAAAAGCTTATTACGAGTAGTAGGAAAGTCATGTTGTATTGAGTTTTATGTGAACTCTCAGTACTATGTCGCTTGCTTTTTGTATTGTGAGTTCTTTAAAATCTACGTAGATACATGAGCAACTATGAGCTTCGCGGTATGTTATCCATCGTCGTAAAATGTGTCGCACAGGTATTCATTCGCCATGAGGTAAATGCAAGGCTAAATATAAACTCACATGTACACGTGAGTATATGTATAGATATATATTTTCATTTGTATACATAGATATATGTTCGAACGGTAATACTAGGTGTGCTAAGAATATCTTGGCGTGCGAATGTCGCAAAAGTATAATGCTGTGGTCCGTGCAGCTGCTCGTTTGCTTGTTTTGCCATCGTTATTGTTACTTTATTGATCGTAAATCCTTCCAGCGTGCATGTCGTACAAGACGAAGGATACCAAAAATTATCGGAATATTCCTATGGACTTGGTATTGTCACGCACATAATACCCTGACATAGACTATGAATTTGATTTATCTTATTCACGAGAAAATAAAACTTTTAATCATTTTCTATATGCTAAAAATATGGATATATTTAAATGACATAGTTTAAAATTTAGTGAGCGAATCACGGATTCACCAGTAAAAGGTTTTTTGCATTTACTATTTAAAGATTAGTTCTATCATGAGCATCACTCATGAAAGGGTCAGAACTGAAGAAATGCAGGTGACAAAAAAATATTTTCTCCAATTCTATTTCTATAGTAAATGCATTCAAAGTTAATTTCATTTCGACAAACTGAAGCACTTCAAAAAAGCATTATTCTGTGACAATTTGATCAGAAACTGTGCTATCAGACAAAAATTCGAATATTATTATTAGCTTTCGTACATAAACCTCTATGCGCTTTATTAAATCTTTTTCTATTCGGCAACATTAAGTATAGACAATCACCTTTATAATGAAAGCTTTCAAAGGAGTTTTTTTCTGTACAATTCAGATTTTTTAGTAGATTTCATAGAAATCGAACTATTGCATTTGTTCTCATGGCGGAACTTTCGAAAAATTTTGCTATTTCCTGATTCAGTTCGTTGAGCTGATTCAAAAAATAAATATGGTTCAAAAGTTTATGTGTATATTTATAAATTTATATATGTATAATATATATACATATATATGTATGTCGTAGACAGATCGTGCAGCCAAATCGTGTAATGGTCCATCAGTTACACGAAGTGGCTAAAATTTTTAGTTAGTACATGAAATGCAAGTAGGCCTTAAACAGATCGTGTAATGTTCCAGAATTACATGAAACCCATGTAGGAAAGTATGGCGGGCCCAGGCCTGGCCCAACTATGCAGAACTCTGGGCCAGGCTTGTAAGCTAGCGTTGGCCCAGTCTTGGTAGAAGTTTGGAATGATAACGATGGGCCAAGCCAGGTTACTACATGGCTCATGCCATTTGATAAAAAATGATAAAAAAAATAATTTTTTAAGTGTCATTTTTTTAATAATTTTGATGTAGAGCTAACGCAAGTTTAGATCGTATGACTGTTGATTTAGATCTAATTTTTACTAATTATAGAAATAGAGTGAAAATTGCATTTGCCCTAACCGAAATTCGAACCCGAGCCGCGTGCTTGCTAGACCGATAACTAACCCCTACACCGTACGACCGATAAATTGATACACATCTTATCATTCATATAAACTAAATCTATATCCCAGGTAGGAAAGAACAACTGGACAAGACTTGGACCAAGCCTGGGCCAAGCGTCACCAGCCTTGGGTAAGGCTTGGCACGAGCCTTGGCTAAACATTGGGCCAAGGCTCGGTCCAAGCCTAGGATGATAACTATGTCCCCAAGCCTTGGGAAACCAAAACACAAGGCTTGGGCCGAGTCTTGGGAAACAAATGGCCCAGAGCTCGGACCAAGCCTTGGGGAACTAATTTGCCAGGACTAAAAAAATGCAAACATTATTAAAAAATTAAATTTGATTTTAATTGTATTCGTGATTTTACGGTTTATTATCAGCTTTACGTTATCGTATCTCGCGATTACACCAGATTACCTTGAAAAAATTTTTGCTCACGATGGGAATCGAACCTGGGTCACCCGCGTTAAAGTCTCGAACTGTACTGACTTCGCTGCACTTCGTAGAAACACTAATAGATTAGTTTTAGTTACTTAAACATCACTCAGTCATTTTGCTTTATTACATAATGTTCCATAATTAAAATTGAACTTATAACTGCTAAAAATTTTGTATAGTTTAGATAATATAATTTGTTGACAGAATACAGTTATGAAATGTATTTTTTTTTAATTCATTTGATTTTAACGAAATAATTAAATTTTCTATTACCAAAAATAAATACATGATCATAATTGAGTACATCTAAATTAAGAAATTGTCACTTTTAATTTATAGAAAAGTAACTACTTAGTATAATTTCATTCAATAATTTTTTTTTACGAAATGTTCTTACTATTATTTAAGATAATGTGACTATAAATAATCAATAATTGAAGCATTTTTTAGCCTTAGATTTTCTTCATAAAAAATTAATATTTTTTATCATTGAAAAAAATTTTTCTATGATTCAATTAAAGCACCAAGCTAGTTTTGAATTTATATTTGGTCCGATAGTAACTTCCCAAGGCTCAATTTGGAAATATCGAACCATTGAGCCAAGTCTCAAGCTAGACCCGGGCCAAGCCTCGGGTGTCAGTGACTTCCCAAAACTATAGTTTCACTGATAGATATATTTGTAGAAGTAATTTGTATATGTATAAGAGAGTGATAAACAAACTTACTTGTTAACAATTTTTTTCAATATTTTTTTTTGGAGAGAAATAAACATTTTTAAAATATTCACAATATGTATCAGTATTAAATTTATCATTTTTTATTCACATGGAAACTATTTTTTGAGCAGTTTCGAGAGTTTTATACATTTTTCAGCAACAAAGAAATGATAGTTAAAAATAATTTGTCAACGATTAATAACTATATTTATTAAAATTTTTTTGTTGACAAGTCATTTATTAAATTCTATTAAATTCTTCTATCAGTGTTCGAAGCATTGGGCCAAGTATCGAACCGGGTTTAAGTCCGTGGTGATTTTTTAAGGCTTGGTTGAAATGTATTGAGACATTGGGCCAAGCATCGGACCAGGCCTCGGCCAGTTGTAATCTCCCAAAGCTTGGTTCCAAAATATTGAACCATTGGGCCAAGCTTCGGGCCAGGCTTGGGCCAGTGGTGTACCCCAAGGCTCGGCTTGAGAATGTCGAACCATTGGGCTGAGCCTCGGACCAGGCTTCGGCCAGTCGTGATCTCCCAAGGCTTGGTTCCAAAATATTGAACCATTGGGCCAAGCCTCGGGCCAGGCCTGGGCCACTGGTAACTTACCAAGGCTTGGCAAAGTAACAAATGGTCCAAGGCTGGGCCATTTGTCAGCATTGGCAAACCCTACCTGGGATGGTGACGAAGTGTGACTGTATATTATTTATATAATTTATGTTATTTAATATTGTGTTTTGATGAAAATTAACTATTTTTTACAAATGTTTATCAATTAAAAAAAAATACAAAAGTCAAGTTCTTATATTACTTTAGAATTTGTACATCGTTCTGTATATTATTAATATTTTATTGTAAATTTTAATGTTTAAAATTATCAGTATTCAAAATTCAACTGTAAATTATTATATTTTAGCTTTTTTGAAACCCTATCAATCTTGACAATATGTAATTGTTTTTATTAAATAATAAATTTTCAATTTTAGCATTTGCTAACAAATATTCGTTAAACAATAAATATGTTTACTGTTCAAATTTCTATTACTCAGGGGAGAAGGGGGTCAATTGAACCACGAGGCGATTAAATCACTCGACTTAAAAAATCGAAAAAATTGAAAAAATGCTTCATGCTCTTAGAATTTAATTTTAATATGTTGAACTCTGATATGATCAAAATTTGTAATCATTACGATTAATAGATTTTGAAAAATTGAGATTTTTGAATTTTTTGGTATGCAAACTATTTTTTCGGCTGATGACAAATTGTTTAATAATATTTTAATTTTTGAATTAATTAATAAAGTTTGAATTGCAGTAGTTGTATATACTTATACTTTATAATCCCCAACGTCGTTTATAGTGATATACACGGGAAATAATTTCTGGGAAAATTTACGATACAACTATTGTAAAGCTGGACTATACTTTTATTACTATTAATTATCAAATATTTTAGAAGAAAAAATACTATTTATTCATGAAAAAATACGATATTACTATTGTAAAAGTAAGAGATGAAAATTTCCAGTGCTGCCTCTGTATCTTTCCAGTAGAACTATAGCAAATTTTACAATAGTTGAATTGGAATGTCTCTCAATTAGTGTGAGTGATGGCCGTGCACAGCGCTAGACTCTGAGTGTATGTAAATGTTAAAAGACATCGGTCTTAGTTTACCTCGGATAGCCTAGAGGGAGAGTCTCTGGCTGCCAACACAGAGTTCTGGGTTCGATTCCCAGATAGCACGAAAATATTTGTTTCTTTTTTCGATTACTAGAATTGAATTTACGCGCGCAAGCGCGCGCCTTGACTATAGAGTTTGCATATATTTTCATGCTTATGATATATTCGACCAATCACGTTACGAATAGTTTGATGCCACATATATTTCATCTCAATTTTATATTAGGACTGTACCGGTACCAATTCGTGCAACCTTCTTTCTCTCTCCCTCCCTAATATTTCTTTTAAAAAAACCAAATGTGAATTTTTACAATAGTTGAATTGTAAAGTTCACAAACACATATTGTATAATTTGCTCTATAGCAGGCGCGCAGTAGCCTATCGGATCCGGCCCTTGCTACCAAAGCATTGGACCGGGTTCGAATCCGGCGTACACCAATGAATATTTTCAATATTTAAGTGTATTATTCTGCTCAGCCCAAGAAATACAAACGAGTTCCAATCTCAAAAGTGTAGCCCCTACCGTAGTTGCTCATGACCTTAGTAGTTTATGCGACTTTAAACAAATTAAAAAAAAAAAAAAAAAAATTTGCTCTATAGCATTCGACTTTTTAAGACTCTTGCTAGGCTTATTTGTTGGATAAAATTTACAATAGTAAATCGTAAAAATTACTAAATGAGAAGTATAGTGCACCGTTACTATTTTATTTAGTAAAAATTACAATAGTAAAATAGTAAAAACTCCTTCAATTTTTTTCCCCGTGTAATAGTTTATTTATTTATTATTTACTATTAAGTGTCATAAAATTATATGGAGTCAGTTGAACCAGCAGTCGCGGGGACGATTGAACCACGGAGAGGCATGAGACATGCGCGCGCATCTTGACTCTACTTAAAAAATACTCAAGGAAATAACCTAACAATTTGATGAACTGAATTTATAATGAAAATTATTAACTTCCCGCTAAGAAAATCGAAGATTTTCAAAAATCGAGAAGATATTGTTTTTACCCCGTTTTGCAAAAATCGTGTTTTCATATGTGTGTGTATGTGTGCAATTTTAAGCGCCTAAGTATGAAATTAGCGGGAAGTTGCAGGGATGGCCTTCAGGGTCAACCGTTTTCCTAATTTATATTTTTTAATTAACATAGTATCTGTGTATTAAAAATGTGCAATAGTAATATTAGCAAGTAACAATTAATATATTACTTATTTAAAGTTTGAGTTTAAGTTTTAAATATTATTGGTTCAATTGACCCCGAGCAGTGGTTCAATTGCCCCCGGGCGGGGGTCAATTGAACCATTCGACGCGTTTGGATAAATTAATAATTTTTTTTAATTCATGTTGTTTATTGACTAATTTATGTATTGATAATGATAGTAGAAGGCGCGCAGTAGCTTATCGGATCCGGCCCTTGCTATCAAAGCATTGGACCGGGTTCGAATCCGGCGTACACCAATGAATATTTTCAATATTTAAGTGTATTATTCTGCTCAGCCCAAGAAATACAAACGAGTTCCAATCTCAAAAGTTTACCCTCTACCGTAGTCGCTCATGACCTTAGTAGTTTATGCGACTTTAAAAACAAATAAAAAAAAAAAAAAATGATAGTAGACTTTATAAACTATCATCCCAAGAAAAAAAAATTATTAATTAGTTTTAATTCGACTAGTAAAAAATTACTAAACTTTTTAACTTCTCGCTAAGAAAATTGAAAATTTTCAAAAGTTGGGAAGTTATTGGTTATACTCCGTTTTTCGAAAATCGAGTTTTCAACGGATGTTGACGTTTTGAGGTCTTAGGAAGCTTCCCCGAATGTTTCCGTGATGATGTCCGAATTTGAGGAATTTCAAAAAAACTACAAAAAAAACTTTTTTCAAACGTGGTTTTTTGGCATCACTTTTAAACGGCTTGACCGATCGATTCCAAAAACTAATAAGCTCTTGACATTGAAAAAACACGTCGATTGCCACCAGCCCGGTCGAAATCGGTTGATTCGTTCGTGAGTTATCGTTGGCGAAAAAAAATCGAAAAAAGTGTTTTTTCGGATTTACTCCGAAATAATTAGTCTAATTGATTTAAACTTCAAGGTTTATTATGAAATTTCAACAACTGCGTCGAATGTCGCTAATCACATGAAAGTCTGTTCATTCATTCAAAAATTATTGCGGATTGAAAATTCAAGAAATATTATTTTATTGAACTTCTATCAGACTTTTGAGCTCGGAGAGCTCAAAATGAAACGAATATTATATTTCTGAGCTCGAAGAGCTCAAAAACGTAATAAGTACGATTTTGAGCGCTTAAGGTGGAATTAGCGGGAAGTTGCAGGAGTGGCTTTTAGGGTCAACCGTTTTCCTAATTTTTTTTGGTTCAAAAGACCCCCTTCTCCTCTAATGATTATTCAAGTTTGGATTTCCCATTGAATGGCCAAGGCTAGGTTACCCAATTCTGACTCAAGTCTAGGTTGTCATTCAACGGCCATGGCTAAGCTTCCCAGTCTTGGCTAAGGCTCGGGTAATTATTGGGTCGGCCAAGGCTTGGTTTCTGAGTCCTGGCCCAAGTCTGGCTCGCTAGTGAATGGCCGTAGCTGGGGGACCTAGTTCTGGCCCAAGCTTGGGTAATCATTGGGCTGGCCCAGGTTTGGTTGTCCAGTCTTGGCCCAAGGCTGAGTTCTTTTGCCTCGGCCATTCTATGGGGAACCATATATATATATATATATATATATATATATATATATATATATATATATATATAT